TCGACGTCGTGGTATCAGCCGAAGCCTTCGTGACGTCAGCGACTGAGCGGTGCGCGCCGGATTGGACTGGAACGCCTGCTCTTGTATTAGGGAGGCTAGGTCTGCTTCTGGCTTCCCACGCAACGTGCAGGTGTGCAATGGGCGATGGGCCCAGACCCCTGCGCCATAGGATTTAGACCGACATGCTGACCTCTCTGTTGTGCCTAGGTGGGGCTGCGACGTGTTGATCTTCCGAGGCCGGGCATGAGCCAGGAAAGTGTGTCCGGACAAAGGGGATCGAGCGTGTTGGGAAATGTGGTGCACCCTTGCAGGAAAGTTTATCTATTCGAATAGCCGTGTCCCTCGGTAAAAGGATGACCCGGAGTTGTACCTTGACCTTATGACAACTAGAACTGGATACTTAATAAAACACACCCTTCCATGTGCCAGATACAACCGGTGAGTGCTCTCTCACAGGGCGACGAGAGGAGGATCACCAGGTAGGATTATGCTATGCGATGATACTTGGTGAACTTACCATCTACTCTCTTCTTCTGCTGCAAGATGGAGGTTGCCAGAAGCATAGTCTTCGATAGGACAAGCTATCCCCCTCTTATTCTGGCATTCTGCAGTTCAGTCCACATATACCACCCCTTTCATTTGATACCAATGCATATATAGTGTAGCTCCTTGCTTGCGAGTACTTTGGATGAGTACTCATGGTTGCTTTGCTCCCCCTTTTTCCCCTTTCTATACCCGATTGTTGCGACCAGACGTTGGAGTCCAGGAGCCAGACGCCACCGTCGACGACGACTCCTACTACCCTAGAGGTGCCTACTACTACGTGCAGGCCACTGACGACGACCAGGAGTAGTTCAGGAGGATCCCAAGCAGGAGGCATGCACCTCTTTTGATATGTATCCCAGTTTGTGCTAGCCTTCTTAAGGCAAACTTGTTTAACTTATGTCTGTACTCGGATATTGTTGCTTCCGCTGACTCGTCTATGATCGAGCTCTTATATTCGAGCCCTCGAGGCCCCTGGCTTGTAATATGATGCTTGTATGACTTATTTTATTTGTAGAGTTGTGTTGTGATATCTTCCCGTGAGTCCCTGATCTTGATCGTACACGTTTGCGTGTATGATTAGTGTACGATTGAATCGAGGGCGTCACAAGTTTCTTAAGATCACTTCTATCATTGCATGCAAGAAAGTCTCTAGCAATTTCTTCATCCATAACATAACCCTCAGGAACAACAGGCAATTCATATCTAGAGGGAGAATCTTCATCATCACTTTTATCAATATTATCAGTTTTCATAATTTCATTCTCTCTAGCCCTAGCAAGTTGTTCATCAAGAAATTCACCAAGTGGCATAATAGTATCAAGCATAGAAGTAGTTTCATCATACGTATCATGCATAGCAGAAGTGGCATCATCAATAACATGTGATATATCAGAATGAATAGCAGAAGCAGGTTTAGGTGTCGCAAGCTTACTCAAAACAGAAGGTGAATCAAGTGCAGAGCTAGATGGCAGTTCCTTACCTCCCCTCGTAGTTGAGGGATAAATCTTGGTTCTTGGATCTTTCAAGTTCTTCGTAGTGATAAGCAGATATAAATCCCAAGTGACTCAAAGAATAGAGCTATGCTCCTCGGTAACGGCGCCAGAAAATAGTCTTGATAACCCACAAGTATAAAGGATCGCAACAGTTTTCGAGGGTAGAGTACGATGTAATCACAATTCAGTCTAAATGTAATCACAATTCAGTCTATGATCACGATGAATACTTTATACGAAAACTTCTAGCAATATACCAGGTGATTACAATGATCTAGTTTAGCATATAAACAATGAGAATGAGTAACTATGTCAAACTATATGAAACTATCTATATGAGCATGTGACAATAAATCCCTAAGTCATGTATAATCTAATGAAAAATGGAATGATGACACATGGGAGCATATGCTCCTACCATCCAAAAACATTTCAAAATGTCAAAAAAAAATCAAAACAAAAAAAAATAATGTGTACATCTCGATATTCTATGTGCGCACGCCAAGTTTTGTGGAAAACTGGCATTTTATGTGGCTTGTGTAAAAAAGATAAAGGAATGTCTCGTGAAAAGCCTTTTTTAACACTGAATTTTGTCTTTTTTACACATGACACAAAAATTATTGTTTTTTCACGAAACGATTTTGTGAGTATGTAGAATCTCAAGATGTACGCACAAAACATATTTTTGGAATTTGGTGACATTTCAAAATACTTCTAAAGCACATTTTATAAACCAGGAGCATGCTCCTGGGTGCCAAAACGCCCACGCATGTGTTTCCCCCCTTGCCTTCTTCTCAAGCGGAGCAGCTGCCACGCAACCTTGCCCATGGCCGGAACCGACAACTCTGGCGGGCCAGAGAAGCCGACGGGTGTTGAACTAGTAAGGACATGAACAATGGTGGCATCATCTAGTGCTGCCCCAAGACCTCCACATCATCACAACAAAAATGAGACTACCATTCAGTTTTCATTCAATCTAACCGATAGCCTTGTGACGTGAGCTAGCCTTTTCTCACTTCCCATCTTTTTCTCGCCATAGCACATGGACTTTACCTTTTCTTCTTCCACGCACTCTCCCTCTCTCCCAAGAGCACCGCATGCACTACCACATTTGTGGTCAAAATCACTATTCTAACCTTGTCAAAAATCTTCAGCACAAAATAACCTCTCCCAAAAACTATTTCACGTTCTGATCCTTTTTGAAACGCCAAACCTCATGGCGTTATTGTCCAAAGTAGAAACGCCATACTATTCAGCGTTGCAATCGGCCACGTGGCAAGAAAAAACGCCGAAGTAGGCTGCGTTGGTAGAAACGCCATACCTGCTGGCGTTGCTGCTGGACGTGCAAACGCCAAAGTTTTAGGCGTTGCACTCCTGATCCATTGCTACAACTAGCATCCAGCATGCATGTATGTTACCTCGCCGGCAATGCATGAAATAGTTTGACTCTTCTTTCGGTTGATGCATGCATGCTATACATTAGTTAGAGCAACTCCAACGCAGACGACAATTTTATCCGTTTTTTGTCTGTTTGGATCGGCCGTCTGCTCGGCGTCCACCTTATTTTTTTTAATCGGTGGTGCGTCCAACGCCCTCAACCCATTTCATGTCCGCGCAGAAATTTGAAAGGCCCGTGGCAATAAATCATACCAGCGCCCATGCCGTCGCCCAAAGTTCATGCCGGCACCATGTTAGCGGCCGGCATACAATGCCAGCCTTAAAAAAACCACCACACAGTTCATGCGGGCGCACTTGTCAGCGGCCGGCGATCGACGCCGCATCCCGCTTGTCCTCCTTCTTGTAGTTGGCCTCCCCCTCGGTCGTGGCTTTTCGCCCTCCCCAACCTCCTCCACGGCTTTCTTTCCCACACGCGTCATGAGGGCGGCATATTGCGCCTTGAACATCTCCTCCCTGTTGATGATCGCTGCTTCCTCCCTTGCGTCCACCGCGTGCCTGCGGCCCTTCCTCTTGGCCGACTCCAAGGCCGGCGTCAACTGCTTCTTCTTCTTGGATGGCACCGCAGTCTTGTGGGGGGCGTGGGGCTTGCCTTTGCCGGAGGGGCGGGGGTGAGGCCGGACGAGGCGAGGGAGGCGAGGCCGCCGGCGGCATCGAGGTCGTCGTCCATGGCTCGCGGCCGGGAGCACAAGCGGGCGGGAGGTTTTAGAGAATTGGAGGTTGTTCGCTTTGCCACCAACTAGCGGGCCAGGGGAAAGAGTAGGCGCGCGCCGCGCGTGTTCGCTTCGTGTCCTCGCCGACGCAAATAAAACCCAAAATTGGGTTGGGAATGAGTCAATAGACAGATGAAAAACGGACGCGCGTTCATTTGAGTCGGCGTGTTTTCTATCTGCGGCGACCAAAACGGACACGCACGAAAGGGTCGATCACATGCATGTTGCATGCAGGTAGACGTCGTTTTCTCTGTGAAATCAGCAGAGAGCGACATCATTTGTTCTCTAGCACATGTTTATATATGCATCAAAATCAAAACTCAAAAGTATAGTCACCACTACGATTGGTGTGGCTGGCAGCTGACCACTACGTATAACATGCATGCATCAATCGAAGAAGAGTCAAACTGTTTCATGCATTGCCGGCGAGGTAACATGCATGCATGCTGGATGCGAGTTGTAGCAATGGACCAGGAGTGCAAAGCCCAAGACTTTGGCGTTTTCACGTCCAACGGCAACGCCACCAGGTTGGCGTTTCTACCAACGCGGCCTACTTCGGCGTTTCGACTTGTCACGTGGCCGGCTAGCAACGTTGAATAGTACGGCGTTTCTGTTTTGCAGTAACGCCACGAGGTTTGGCGTTTCAAAAAAGATCAGATCATGAAATAGTTTCTGGGAGAGGTCATTTTGTGCTGAAGATTTCTGACAAGGTCAGAATTGTGATTTTGGCCCACATTTGTCCATGGACCACACTCTCTCTCCCTCAAGCTGCTACCTCCTCTGCAAGCTGCACCTGAGCTCTGCAAGCTAACGTCTTTTTCTCCTCTCTCCTCCACGGCAGCTCGCCTCCGACGTGGTGCCCTAAGGACACGTATTTGGGACTATAAATTTTGCAGAAAAGCCTCCGAGAAATCTCACTGTCACCGATGCCGTCCTTCTCCGTCGAACTGGACGGCCAAACATGGTCAAACCACACTGCGTCAGAACAATTTTAATACGTCTCCATCGAAAGCATGGTCCAACCGTAGCTGACTGGGCACAGAAACTTAATCTGCCCACATTCAGCGTTTCCTGAGTTCGATGACTAAAAATTGCATACGACTGACAAGTTCAATCCTATGACGAATTCCACTCTACCCGTAGCGCTTTCTTAAGCAAAACAACGCAGTTACAACTGGCCAAAAATCAGGCCAGGGGCACGGCAAATTGCTAGTCGGGTGGAAAGCGCAAAAGACTCTGCCAGTAGGGAGCAATCCGATCCGTCGATAAAGCAAAAACAGAGTCTCAGGATTATTCAGTGGCGGTGGTCAAAGCAGAACTCCTTGTGGACACCACAAGCGCAGGTCACGCGCACCACCACTTCGGCGCCGGTGCAGGCTGCTGCTGGCGCGGCTGGTGTGGCAACGCTGGATACTTCCACCTCCCGATGCTGTGCAGTGCAGGTAAGGATGTCATCAGGAAACAGGTTTACCAAAATGAAAGTAGGAAACCCAAAGAAACTAAGGAAACTGTATAAGGAAACACATGCAATGTTCTGCAGACATCTAACTAAAGTGATATTTGAATCAAGAAATATGAGGCACAGGATTAAAACTTATTTGCGGAGATAATAAGATTCAGATAGCGGTATGTTTAGCGCTAAGTGTACCTGCTCGATCGGTCACTAAGCAAAGAAATGATCAGGTTCAAGTATGTCAAGGATGCAGAGTATACTAATCAAAATGTTGAACTGTGCACATGAGACCATAAGCTTCAGATAGCAGTATGTCTGTCTCCAAAAGTATCCAATCAATTATGAAGAAGCTAAGAAATGATCAGGTTACAGTGACCAAAATGTTCAAGCCTGGAGAACTGGAGAGTACGGTATGATGATCGATCACAAAGCAAAGCAATTATATGATGTTCAAGCATGATAATTATACCGATGAGATAATAAGCTTCAGATGACAGTATGTTTGGCTTCTAGACTATATGATGATCGATCACAAAGCTAAGAAATTATCAGGATACACTGAACAAAATGTTCAAGCCTGGTGAATTGGAGAGTATACTAATATGAGCAGTGCTTCTACTAATATAAATGTGAAGTGCACATTCTACCAGAACTGTAAGTACACTGGGGAGATCATAAGTTTCAGACAAGAGTCAGTTTGTCTCTAGAAGTATCTAATCGGTGGATCAAGAATCTAAGAAATAATCAATTTCAATACGCCGACAAAAATGTTCAAGCAGGATAATATTTGAGGATAAGCTTTCGGTAACAGCATTCTGAAGTGGTGACTCGAACGCTCATCAGGAAATGGAATGGAAATATCAACAACAGAATGCGTAAGGCATTACCTGCTTGCTCGCCTTCCCAGCTGACGAATGCTTCGCCGGCGCTGGGACGAACGTGGAGCCCGACCCGCATGGCGAAGTCGAGCTGGACGCCTCACTGCAGGCCTTCCTGGCCTCCTGCGGCGATCCAATCGGCAGATTCAGAGGCAACGGACAAAGCAATCAAGAATTGCAAGATGCAGAAGAATATGACTGGAGAATCATCGTACCTGCTTGCCAGAGGAGCGGGATGTCTCGCCATTCGCGGGAGTGGCCTTCGCCGGCGAGGTGAAGAACGTGCAGCACGGCCTGGCCGATGACCCGGACTGGATGGAGGAGCGGGAGGTCTCGCCGGCGGTGACCGAGGCGTACGTCTTGACAACCTTCTGCGGCGGCTCAATGGCCTGCTGGCTCCCGCGGAGCGTGCTCACGATGCCTTGTTGTCGCCGCGGCCTCTTCTTCCTGCCGCCGCCAGACTTGCGCACGAGCGGCGCCAAAATCTTCGATGCCGAGAAGACAAACGACGGGGATGTCGGAGAACTTGCGTGCCCGATGGGGGGCCCCGGCGAAGGGAAGAAAGCCAAGCCACCGCTATCGGTGGAGCCCGTGCGCGCGTGCTTCGGGGAAGGGAAGGACGCCACGGCGCACCCGCCGTGGTATTCCCTGGGCGACAGGGACGGCTCGGTAGACAAGGACGCGAGGCCGCCGCCGGCAGGAGAGCTCGCTGGCGTGAGCGGCTGCTCCGGCGAAGCCGAGAACATGAATCCACCGTTGGCAGTGGGGCCCGCCGTCGGCTTCTGTGGCGAATCCATGAACGTGAGCCCGCCGCTCAAGGTGCCGCCCGTGGGCGTTGTCGGCTGCCCCGGTGGAGCCAAGAACGATAGGGCGCTGACACCGGAGCCCGTCGGAGACGGCGTGCTGGGCGTGTCCTCCAAGAACGCGAAGATGTTGCCCCCATTGCCGCCGCCGCTACCACCGATACACGGACGCACCGACGGGAATGAGAAGTCACCGGCGGGGGACCCCGTGCGCGACAGCAAAGGCGGCGCGGTGCTCGGGGAGAGGCGCGGCGAAGGCGGCTGTGAGGGGGAGGGCGAGGAGTCGAAGGGGTGGAGCTCGACCAGCAACTTCTTGCGCGGCGAAACGGGCGGGAGGAGGCAGCGGCGCTTGCGTCCCCCGGGCCCGGCGACGCCGCCTGGCGCGGAAAAGGTGACCGCCGAGTGCTGGGGATCGATGCGGAGCTCGGCGAGGTGGTGCGGCGACGGCGCGAGGAAGAAGCTGCGGTGGAGGTCGGCCGCCATCATCTCGATCGTGGCGCTCCCGAGTTCTTCGGTTCTTGCGTGGTGGTGGCGGTGGTTGGTCTCGGAAGGAAGTGGTTGGTTGGTTGGTTAGTTTGGCGTCGTCCTTCTCAGATTTATAACTGATCAGCGTTGGCTTTGGGCTGCGGTTTTTTTTTCACTTTTTAAAATTGGTCTAGTGTCACTTTTTTTTTGGTTAGCGTTGTCTTTTTTCTCTCTTTATTTAACGGCATGGCCAATGCATAGCCCCACAGTAATGCCTCACATGCCATGTAGGATCGGTCCAGTGCGTAAAGTAGAAAAAGTTGAGATGAAGAATAGGGATGCATGTGTAGTGAGAGTCATTTTCTATTCTTTGATGAGGCCCACTAGTAGTAGCTTGCATTGGGGAGAAAAAAATCAACATAGATATCTCAAATTATTTTTTGTTATGAGGCATCCGTATCCATATGTCACCATTGTACATGTCCTAAGAACGTGTTGGCTTTGGATCAGGTAACAAGTGGCACTCCGAAAGAGACATAAAAGTGGGTGTGGTATAATTTATTGATTTACATCATTAAAAAGCGTTTTCTACATTTCTAAAATGTGCCAACTCCAACGGATGATGTATATTTGGTGACGTAAAGCTCCTACTCCAACAGATGATATATTTATAAAGATGTAAAACAAGACTCTGCAGATTCACATCCAGCCACCCACATAGACAGACACATTCATAGATTGGTGGCTTGACAAGAGAAGAAACTTCACAGGTAGAACCAAGTGCGGTTTCGACTCATTCGTGGTTGCTACTGCTTGGTCTTTATGAAAGCAGCGGAATGCCAGGGTGTTTAAGAGAGTCCACGAGCATAGACCTCCACCACGACTGGTAGATCAAGTGCTTTCAGAGGTTAAGGATTGAAGCCTTGCTGGCTTTGGTGTTGGAGGATTAGATCCGTTTGTGAGAGAGTGACTTAGTTTTATTTAGCTGGTGTTGGTGTGGGTTTCTTGCCCGTCGGGATGTCCGCATCTTGGCCTGGTATGTTGTAATTATACTTTCTGCCTTCTATAAAAATATGGTACGTCATTGGCGTGCTCTCAAAAAAAAAAGATGTAAAACAAGTTGGCATGAGCGTCGGCGACCGAGCGCCGAGAGCCGGGAGGAGCGCCTGCGGACAAAGATGTGTCAATAGATGCGCCGGCGGCTGAGCGATGAGAGCCGGGAGGTCAAATGCGGCCATGGGGGCTCGAATGGCCGATGGCGCAGTTGTGAATCAAGCGGCAGATTGGTCGCGGCGGGGCGAGGGTCATGCGGCGCGAGAAGGTCGACTTTAGCAGTGAAAAAGCGGCGTGGCTGGGGAGCGACGGCGGTGGGAAGAAGCGGTCAATTCAACCGATTTGGAGGCGGACAACGATGAAACTGACAGCGGAGGCGATGGAGCGACCGGATCAGGCAGCGGGGCGGCAGCAGCAGGGTGCGGTGGGCGAGCGGGGACCAGCGGAAGTGCGGCGGGACGGACTCAAATTGGCGGCTACAGCGGCGCGGTGGGTGGTGGGAATAGCCGACGGAGTCGGGGAAGGATGGACAGGGGAATTGAAATGAAGCGGTGGTGGTTGGCATGCGACTGGAGTTTTATATCACGTGGGAGGTGGAGATGCAAATTTGCATCTCCAAGTGTTGTATTTTACATCACTTGGAGGAGGTGACTTATTTTTTTTGCATCTACATCATCTGTTGGAGCAGTGTTTTTAGGCCTTGATGATGTAAAAGTTATTTATTTTTGCATTTACATCTTCTATTGGAGATGCTGTTAGGCTTTCTTTGATTTAAAGGATTTTCACAATCCTAGGATTTTTTTTATATATTGGCCATTTGATTTGTACATCTACAAGCATTTTAGCATCCATTCAAACCTCTTGGAAAGAACCCTATGTTTATCCTGTGATGCAATCAAACCAACCAAATTTCTGTAGGATTCAAATGGACATGGAATTGTAATCCTACATTTTTTCTTATTCTTATGTCTTTTAAATCATGCGAATCAAAGGGGCTCTTAAATGTAATTTGGAAAACTGTCATTCACTAGAATGTTTTTATATAGATATAACATTCTTTTAGTAAATTATGTAGATGGTACTCTCGATTTTTGTGGTTGTTTAGCGCGAGCGAGCTGAGGATATTAGGGAATCTGCGAGGGGTGGAACCGGAAGGGCATGGGGTTGGTCTGAAGGAAATATGCCCTAGAGGCAATAATAAAGTTGTTACTTTATATTTCCTTATTCATGATAAATGTTTATTATTTATGCTAGAATTGTATTGATTGGAAACTTGAATACATGTGTGAATACATAAACAAATACCGTGTCCCTAGTAAACCTCTACTAGACTAGCTCGTTGATCAAAGATGGTTAAGGTTTCCTAACCATGGACATGAGTTGCCATTTGATAATGGGATCACATCATTAGGAGAATGATGTGATGGACAAGACCCATCCGTTAGCTTAGCATAATGATCGTTCAGTTTTATTGCTATTGCTTTCTTCATGTCAAATACATATTCCTTCGACTATGAGATTATGCAACTGCCGGATACCGGAGGAATACGTTGTGTGCTATCAAACGTCACAATGTATGTGGGTGATCATAAAGATGCTCTACAGGTATCTCAAAAGGTGTTTGTTGAGTTGGCATAGATCAAGATTAGGATTTGTCACTCCGAGTATTGGATAGGTATCTCTGGGCCCTCTTGGTAATACACACATCATAAGCTTGCAAGAAAATGACTAAGGAGTTAGTCACGAGGTGATGTATTATTAAACGAGTAAAGAGACTTGACGGTAACGAGATTGAACTAGGTATGAAGATACCAATGATCGAATCTCGGGCAAGTAACATACCGATGGACAATGGAATTACGTATGTTGTCATAATGGTTCGACCGATAAAGATCTTTGCAGAATATGTAGGAGCCAATACGGGCATCCAGGTTCCTCTATTGGTTACTGACCGGAGAGGTGTCTTGGTCATGTCTACATAGTTCTTGAACCCATAGGGTCCGCACACTTAACATTCAATGACGATATAATATTATATGAGTTATGTGATTTGGTGAGTGAATGTTGTTCGGGGTCCCAGATGAGATCACGGACATGAAAAGGAGTCTTGAAATGGTCAAGAGGTAAAGATTGATATATAGGACGATGGTATTCGGACACCGGAAGTGTTTCGGGGGGTACATGTACTTATCGGGTCACCGGAAGGTGTTCCGGGCACCCCCGGCAAAAGATATGGGCCTTATGGGCCAAGAGGGGAAACGCGCCAGCCACAAGGTGTTGGTGCGCCCCCCATATGGGCCGGCCTAGGAGGAGAATGAGAGAGGGAAGGGAAAGGAAAGTATGGATTAGGATTCCCACTTCCCTCCCTCTCCCCCCTCTTTCCTTCCCCCTCGGTTATATATGGCAGGCGGGCGCGCCTTGGGAGGGACTCCAAGTAGGATTCCTCCTTACTTGAGCACCTCCTATGGCTGCTCCTCCCTCCCTCCCACCTATATATATGTCGGAGGGGGGCGCCTAGCACACACCAGATCAATTGTTAGCCATGTGCGGCGCCCCCTCCACCGTTTACAACCTCAGTCATATTTTCATAGTGCTTAGGCGAAGCCCTGCGAGATCACTTCACCAACACCGTCACCACGCCGTTGTGCTGACAGAACCCATCTACTACATCGACGTCTTGCTGGATCAAGAAGGCGAGGGACGTCACCAAGCTGAACGTGTGCAGAAAATCGAGGTGCCGTGCATTCGGTACTTGATCGGTTGAAGCACGAAGAAGTTCGACTACATCAACCGCATTGTGAAATGCTTTCGCTTACGGTCTACGAGGGTACGTAGACATACTCTCCCCCTCGTTGCTATGCATCTCCATGGATAGATCATTGTGTGCGCATAGAATTTTTTTGTTTTACATGCAATGATTCCAAACATGGTCATGGTACCTCCATCCATGGAGGTGATGGGTAGACGATGGACAATACTTAGTGGTAGTTGCTCGCTCACTCATGGGGTTGTAAATGCGGATGAGGGCATCACGGGGAGAGAAACTTGTAGGGGTGTGTTGGTGGTAGACATACCAAGTGATACGTCCATTTTGCATCATGCTTTTATATCAATATTTATTGCATTATGAGCTGTTATTACAAATTATATCACAATCATTATGCCTTTTCTCTCTTATTTTATAAGGTTTACATGAAGAGGGAGAATGCCGACAGCTGGAATTCTGGACTGGAAAAGGAGCAAATATTAGAGACCTATTCTGCACAACTCCAAAAGTCCTAAAACTTCACAAAGCATGTTTTTGGAATATATAAAAAATATTGGGCGAAGAAAATACCAGAGGGGGCCACCAGCCAGCCACAAGGGTGGAGGGCGCGCCCCCCGTCCTTGTGGGGGCCCCTGGCAGGCCTCTGACGCCCATCTTCTGCTACATGGTGTGTTTTGACCTGAAAAAAAATCATAAGGAAGCTTTCGGGACGAAGCGCCGCCGTCTCGAGGCGGAACCTGAGCAGAACCAATCTAGGGCTCCGGCGGAGATGTTCTATGAGGGGGAAATCGAAGCCATCGTCATCACCAACGATCCCCTCATCGCGAGGGGGTCAATCTCCATCAACATCTTCATCAGCACCATCTCCTCTCAAACTCTAGTTCATCTCTTGTATTCGATCTTGATCCCAAAACCTCAGATTGGTACCTGTGGGTTGCTAGTAGTGTTGATTACTCCTTGTAGTTGATGCTAGTTGGTTTATCAGGTGGAAGATTATATTTTCAGATCCTTAATGATAATTAATACTCCTCTGGTCTTGATCATGAATATGTTTTATGAGTAGTTACGTTTGTTCCTGAGGACATGGGAGAAGTCTTGTTATAAGTAATCATGTGTATTTGGTATTCGTTCGATATTTTGATGAGATGTATGGTGTCTCTCCTCTAGTGGTGTTATGTGAACGTCGACTACATGACACTTC